AGGTTCCAAGTAGAAGACGCCGAATAAGCAACCAAGTCACATAAAATCAATAGACATACGGGGCAATTTACAAAGTTGAGCTTCTCAAATAAATGTCGAAAATGTAATCAAGAAAACATTCTTGATTTGTAGTTTAAAGAAACAGGTGTGTCTGCATTTGTAACATGTCAGAGGGATACTGATGTGTTTTATTATAGGTTGCTTAAACAAGGTTTTGCAAACTGCTGCATCTGTTTTATTTTTGCCTTTTTTTCTCCTCCAGCATAAAAAATATCATCAAGAAGCAAATGTCAAACATAAAGTTACAGTTTCTAATTTTATTTTGAAATCTGGATGGATTTCCGGTTTTACTCCCTTTCTGCTTTCGCTCGAGGCAGGTGCGGATTAAAGTCAGTGACGCAGCAGAGTATTTGTTGTCAGGTCCATCATCCGATTACTGACACGCGACGCTCCCAGGTCACATGACCACACACACTGGGAGCTTACAGGACACGCAGAGTCACTGGGAAGTTTTTTTCCCAGCTGAAGAAATGCAGACAGCTAAATATCTGATCAGGATTACCGTGGATCCCTCCGTCCAGAGTGATTTTATCACTGTGAACAGCTTCTGTCCTCCTGTGTGCTTCATGCAAAGTGTCTGTCAGTGACTCCAACGTCTGTGGCTAAACAAGTGCATGTCGTGGGTGAGCCACTGAAACTCTTGGGCGCCTGTTGGGAAAGCACACTTCGGCCCCCTCAGCTGAGCATTTAAACACCACAGCCCACCTGAGCTGCTGCTGACTGTGTCCGTCTGTTTATAACCACAGTGTACCATCTCCTCATGGCTGCTGCTATGAAAGCAGGGTCCAACCCTGGTAGCAGAAAGGTGCACATAATGATCCTGTGAGCGTATATTAGCAGATACGAAGCAACTAAAGCTTTCAAATCAATGGCATGAAGGAGAAAGCAGCTGTATCCAGAGTGTAGCGGACTTTAAACTGTACTTCAGTAAATGTGCTGAGTTCATACGACTGGTCCAACTCACGATCTCGTCCACCGGCCGCTGCAGGGTTAACTGTAGTGGTGTAAGGTTGTGTGTGAATGGCGGTGCAGCTCTTCATCAGCTGTGGAGCTGTTTGTTTTGCACTCTGCACAGATTCCAGCTGCTGTCATAAATCCTCTCCTCGGCCTGATGTGGGATGGATTCCTGCATCATTAAAATGAGCAGAAAATAAGGCAAACAGGAAAACGTCGTCTTTTTCTGAGTGAATCTGAGTTCGTCATGCTTCACAGAGCTTCCTGCTAATTCTGAGGAAGTCAGAGTCCGTGAACATGACTCATTTACTGTACAAGAAGAAGAAGTTAGCTGATGGTCAAACGGCTCAAAGGTATTTGGTTAAACTTGCAAACACACATTCAAATGAAGCCAAACTGAAGTTCTGAATCTGATGCTTTTGTGAACTTGACAAAAAGGTCAAAGGTGAATCCTGTGAACAGGAAGTCTTAATCTTGACTTTGAACTTGACGCATTAAAAACATCAGATGGCAGGCTGTGTAAGTTATTACTGTTCTACTTTCTTCTTCCTTATTATAGCTCATTAAAAATGTCGTAGAGCAGTAGTAGATCAGAAGAACTTGTGTACATTTTGATCATATCAAGGCCAAACGTCTTTGTTGCAGACACAAAGCTCACATTCTTCAGTAAAGAGCAGTTAAATGAACTCTGTGCAGAGAGTCGGTGTTTGCAGTGTTCACACTTCTTCTCTGCTTCTGGAAGTCCTAAATGCCACAATGACCAAATGAGTGGCCTGAAAGAAACTACACTGTAAAAAAAAATCCTAATATAAAAGTATTTTACAGTTTTGTTCTGTTCTTCTAGAATATCATTAAATTTACACCAATAGACTGATTTCACATTTCAAATGTAAATTAACGTAAAATCACTGTAATGTAATAAAACACAATTTCTTGTTTTTTTAAATGTATTTGTCTGTACACGAGCATATTTAGATTCCCAAATGTGTCATGATTTCACAAATATTTGTCCGTTATTTGAAAGATTGAACTGTTAAATTCAAATGTAATGCTGTGGAAAAATATATGAATAATTATTATCATTGTTGTTATTTAGGGCGATCGTGGCTCAAGAGTTGGGAGTTCGTCTTGTAATCAGAAGGTTGCCGGTTCGAGCCCCGGCTCGGGCACTCTCGGTGTTGTGTCTTTGGTCAAGACACTTCACCCACTGGTGATGGCCAGAGGGGAATTATAAAGCGCTATATGAATGCAATCCATTGTTATTTAAACTAACTGTATATTTCTGTACATTTAAGTATTATTATTCATATTGCTGCATTCATTGACCTTGTTTATAGGTGATTTCATTGTTTAATCACATTAAATTGTTCCTAATTTAATGTTTAAAAGCACTTGAAAAAGGTAAAATTAGGGCAACAAATTGTATTTTCATTACTGGAAATAACCGTATTTTTATGAGTAAGTTATTTTCTGTTATTTTACGGTATTATTTTGGCGCCCCAGCTGCTGGAATATTACTGTTTTTTAAGATGTTTTTTCTAACAGTGTAGCAACAGTTCTAAAAGGTTTATTTAACAGGTTTTTAGAAGTTAACGACACTGGAAACAGCAGCAGGAGATTGTGCAGGTAACTCTCTGATTACAGGAAGGTTTCAGCCAGAGGGGGTCCAGAATCAAACTTAGTTTCAAGAAGAAGTGGAGCTGGTATTATCTTTATCTAGAGGCTGTGGAGGATGTCCTGACTGGTCGGAGGAATCCAGAGGAGACTGGGAGAAGGAGCTGTGGAAAGCGGGCACTGCAGGTGAGGATTCCTCGGATAGCTGGTAGCTACTGTGATAACGATTTATGATAACGAATTGAAGTAACAGAAGGTTTGGACTGAGGAATGTCCACAACAGAGGAAGGTCATTAGAAAAATTACTGGAGGCAGATAAGAGCAAAAGGTTAAGCAGGACATGACACAAAAACTTGCCGATT